TTGCAGGCCCGACTCTGCTTGCTGCCTTGCCGTTCTCTTCTAGTGAGACTGCGGCTGTTCGGGCACCAACAACGGTAGGAGCGTGCAAATATCCGATCCCATTGTTGCAATGTTGCTGTCCTTATATAATCATTGAGATGACTAATCAGTATGCCTCTTACAAGATTAGCGTTGCCTTCATCAGGCTGCAACACCGGTGAATGAAAAAGTATCCCTACTCGAACAACGCTTGAGGGACGCTCAAGCTGAGAAGGAGATTGCAGTTGATATTGTGAAGGATGAGCTCGCACATGAGAAGGCGTGCAACATTGAGCTTACAACAATGGTGGGAACGGCTCTCTTTGAGGCTTTGAATGATGCTTTTGAGTAGGTACAGTCTCAGGAGAGATTGATAGATGAGCTCAGAGTTAAACTAGAAGCCTCCAAAGGAAGCAGTCCAACAGCGAATAATGATGATAGGATCACCGAGCTTGAAAATAAGCTGAGGGAACTCGAGAATGTAATAATGGGTACTCATATGAATGACCTCGATTCCCTCTAAGAAGTCCAAGGCCGAGTCGGAAGCATCAGCAACAAGCACGGCGCACTTGAGGGATGAGCTCACCATACGGGAGGGGGAGATTGAGAGTCTTAGGTAGAAAGGTCGGCAAGCATGGGCCCTGTTCACCAGTAGTCATCATTGTTTTACTTTTATCACATCCTTTGGGCATATCCTCTCGAGACCGTTCCTTCTATGAAGGCCACCTGTCAGGAAAGCTGTAGAGATGGCTACAAATGAAAATGTCGAATTGCGACGGCTAGCTGAGAATACTGAAGCTGATCGATGCCAACGAGAGGAGTCCGTAAGCAGCCTATAGTCTAACCCTACCCTTGGAAGCGTCGTCGGCATGAATCTGAGGGGCTAGTACACGAACGTTTGTCAGGATGAGGGGGTCCAAGCTTTGAAAGAGAGGATCATCGAGGCTGAGGGGATCATAGGAAACCTAAAGGAACGGATCAAAGGACAGGAAGAGGAGCTGGAACAGCGAAGGTGACATCCGCTTTGGACTGAGACGGAGGTTCATCGTGCGATCTTCCCCGTCTCCATCGCCAGTAGGATTAGATCTCAGGATCGGACTCCAGAAGGTGGAGGCACGAGTGACAGAGCTATCGTTAGCTAACTCGAAGCTGGAGGAAGCCGCTGCGGTAGCTGCTGAGGCTCATGATCGTGATCTACAGAGAGTAGCCTTGGAGAAGGTTGCTGAGATAGAGTTGAAGGATGAGGAGTTGCGGAGCACCAATGAGGAAGTGTGAATACATAACCTGGTTACATTATGAAGATAGTATGGCTATATTAGATACAGCGACATGAGGAGGAGATGAAGGCTATCAAGGCTCAGCTATCACATGGCCTTAAGGTCGAGAAGGAGTTATTGAACACTAGAGCAGCTCTCCAGGAGTTGAGGACGATCCGGGACCAACAAGCAAACGTGAGTATAGAGTTCCTAGCGAAGTGGCTAGGCTACTCGCCGCTGCTAGGGGCTACTTTATACTGACAATTCTGAGGAGGGATATTAGGTTGGACAGTTAACGCTTGGGCAATGCTAATTAGGGACAGGAGTAGCTCTTGGGATGGACTGGTAGCTAGGAGCTTCTCAGGAGCTTGTATCGAGAGAGAAGATTATTGCAGCTCATGCAGAGGAGATGTCAAGACTATCAAAGGAATCACTTGATTTGAACAAACGTATTGAAGACCAGGACAGGAGTGAATCGGTATACTTACACTCCCATGGCTACCCTCTTACACCTCTTTGGGCTCAGGAGTTACACGTGATGTATCAACAAGTCAAGAGTGAGTACGGTAAACAGCTCGAAGAAACTGAGGACCTCCGTGGGAGGGCTGAAGAACAACGGATGGTGATGGAGGGGAAGAGCATGGTACTCCATCTAGGATCGTGTAGGCCCTTGCTGATGCTGAGGCGAAGCTCAAGGAGTCTACTCAATCTGTGGAGGATCTCAGAGCCTCTCTGGATGGGAAGGAGGCCGAGATAGCTGATCTAAAGCAAGCCATCGGGGAACTGACTACCGGACAAGCTGCTGATGCTGCTGTATGGTTCAGATCGCATATGGAAAGGGAGATTGCGGTATTGAAGGCTAGGGGGAAGAAGATAGACCTCGCTAAGAATGATGAGTTGGATAAGCTACGACTGGCATTAGAAGCTACGGTGATGGAAGTAGCATGGCAGTGTCACTGTGTTATTGGAGGTCTGTATTCAGCATGCCTCGGAGAAGGCTCAGATGCAGGCAAGCATCGTCAAGCTCGAAGAGGCGCTCACAGACCTTCAGACACAGTATGACGCAACGACAGATGAACTCCATACATTACGGTAACCCAACCCACCACTCTTGTCACTGCTCTAAGATGAATAGTATATGTCCCCTCAGGGCTGCTGCTGCTACAGTCAAGGA